GGATGTGGATGACCTATGAATCAGTCAACTGCCAATTGCTTGACAAGGGGCTCAAGTTAAAGAGTGACAACAGAGTCCAGCAAGAACAGGAGAAGAATGAGAAACAAGAAAATCAAAGAATGAAAATACGGCATGAAAAGCACAGACAGGCTCCACAGTAGACACATTTCACTGATTTTAAACAGTTTCACTTCAGCTCTTTGTAGTTATAATTTCACTTTTCTCTGTGGCTGGCTCATGAACCAACAACAGCAGAAGCAAGAGTAGCCCACAGACTGGATGTGTCACATGTTCTTGACACAGCCCCAATCCACAATAAACACTCTCTGCAGGTAGACGGGCAGTACCTGACTGCCTGCAGACTGCCTTTGTGCTACTTCACACTCACGCATAAGCGGAAACACTCCCATTTTCAGGATTGGTTACGTGTAATATAATCGTTTAATTGAAGGACTTGATGGGTAGTCAGTACGTATCTTAACCTGTTGCACACAACTAATAATATAATTGCTACAATGTATTCTACCAGCATCACACTGGCTGGAATGAGAGGGTTTTATCAACACTTACCCGATGTTCTCACACTTGCAGCAGCAGAACAGACAGACCAAAAATGCAATGATGAGAATGCCACCAATCACTGACAAGGTGATTATCAAGATCTGGAAGTTCACTGCAGACAGAACCAGAGTGACAACGTCATTCAGAAATCACAAATCGCAGATTTATCTTCCAGATAGAAAATTCTTGTTCTTCCTCCTTCATTAGGTTGCGTTTAATTTCCTCTTCTCAAACCAAATCATTCTACAGATGTACTGAATAAAACTTTAATGTTTTTTGACACGCTGATAAAAATAACAAGGATCAAAGACAATTTTAATGTTTAATATGCAAATGTACTTCTGTAAAAAGTTCTGCATCAAGATTTTAAAGATGTAATAGTACAAAAGCATGTGGACAAAATGAATGTTAACATGAATGGGTTCCTATTTTACTACCAGACTGTTGGATAGCACGCTTTGTACAGGGAGATGCTGTCACGGTGAAACAGGATAGGGCTTTCCCCCATCCCGCTATTGTCTAAAACGTATCTACATGCTGAAGCACTTATTCAAAACAAACAACCCCAGACGCAAAATCCACAAACATGGAGGGGTTTTTGTTTTTCCACTTTAGTGATTTAGTGAAACTTTCATCTACAGCAAATCAGGATAAACTGTTCCAATCTTCATTCGTGAAAAAATAAGAATTATGAAGATGCAGGATCTTTTAATCTCTATTTGTAAGTATTTATTTTTTTAGAAAAAAAATAGCCCTTAAATATAACTATTTAGTTTTCATTTATCCTTTGCACGGTGCTGATTGGGAGCCTGTTGCAGTAGCTCCTGTTCCAATTTATTTATTTTGAAATTATTTCATAACCTACTAAAGTGGATTTTTCTTGCTCCTTGTAGACTATGTGGAGGTGAAATAGCCTAACAAGCCTACTAGTGGATTTTCGTATATCACTACAATCTCAGCAAATCGCAGAAAGGGGCTCTACTGCCCGGAGCGAGGCCTGTAAAGCTAGGGGACCTATGAGGAAAATGATGGAGACGAAGCTGTTACAGCCAGCATCATGGGGAATGTATGTGGCTGCACAATAAGTTCAGTGAGCTGATTAAGAGCAGAGGGAACACAGTGAGTGTAGTTTGGAGTAGCAGCAAAACACTGTGCACACAGTGTGACTGTACCTGGCTTCAGGACTTTAGTAAGATGTGGTATGTGAAGGGATTGCACAATCCCAGACATTTTATTGTATCTGGAACACTGAAGTGCTAGCTGTGGGAATGAGTCCATGTTATGCGCAAAGGGAATTAATCATTGCTGTTGCATTTTGATGCTGAGGTCATCCAAATGACTGTGGCTATAGATCCTCTCTGCACCACTTAATTAACACCTCATCTAACATCTGTTTCAGCTCAGCTGCCACAAGGACAGACGCAGAAGTTCTTTGCTACGTCATACCACAATACATGCCTTCATTTTAGGTTTAACCTCCTAGTATAGTATCACATTTAGATTTTAATCCATATAGCATTTGACTTTTTTGTATTTTTCATTTAACCTGAGCTCCTTCTTTGGAGTAATTTTTAATTTTCCAATTTTTTATCATGATTGGACTGATGCAACACAGTAATTTCTCAACTTCAGAGACATGCAAGTATTTTTGTGTTATACAAGAATATAGTTTATTAATTATCATTCTAACACACAGAGAAAAAAAGAAAGAAAATCAGCAAATAAGCTTCAGTTGGAAAGTGTACTGGACAGCATATTTAACAATTAGTTAACTGAATTAAAGTC